ACGACAAAAATATTTTTGGATCATAATTGCATCTTGAATTACATTGACAAAGAAAACGGGTTTTTCTCTTATCGGAAAAAAAACGTGCAGAACTTATGTGCCAATGGGACAATGCCAATGGGGATATGATAGATGTAAATAAAAGACGACACTTCAGAGCACCAGAATTTACGTTCTCATTTCACCTTTATGCATGACACCGCGCTTAAAAATTTTTCATTTCATTGTTTTCTTGCATTGCAAAGTAATCGAGATTGAAGCTTCACAGTATTTCTTCTATATTCTTTTATCTTTACGGTATATAGAAAACTGTTTAATATACTTTTTGTAGAGAATTTCACGGCGCATCTTTTCAGAAAACAATAAAGCTTAGAGGATAAAATTCAACCGAGATATGAGCAAAATACTAAGTGACCGATTTATTCTGGAACACCCGTTAGATTCGTAGCTCAGTGGACTAAAGAGATGATAAGAAAACATGTAGTTCTTTGGACGGAAGCGCGATTCGAATCTTTTCCAAAATTTTAAAATCTTTTTTAGCTTAATTTTCGAAAGTACCCAGGAATAAAAGTCATAGACCCATATGCAATCGACCATGCTGATTCTGAATATTGCATTCCCCCGGACTCAAATCGCATTTGAAAATTTTGAAATCCGGTGATATGTTTTATACTGTAATTAAGAGATAGATTATCTTTTTCACTTTTTTATTTCAATAAAGGCAGTGAATTTCTCAATCTTTTTCTAAATAAATACAAAGGCATTGTGTTCGGCGGACGATTATTTTTCTCTATCGTATGGGAAGTAATTTGACGAATTGGTTATGTCTAGGTCTAAATGTTCGTGTTTAACTAACTTCTCTGAACGTACAATGTAGAAAAGAAACGAGTGTTTAATTTTTAAACTGTGAAAAAATAGAAGTAAAAAAACAAAATCGGTCATATTGATAGAAGAATAGAAAGAGTGTGACCGAGAGAAACAGACGTTAATATTTGTGTGGAAACATACACTATCGGTCATTTTGGAAAGAGAAATATTGTCTGGTCATTTTAATTGAAGCGAGAGTGCACTTACAGTCAAGTAATACAGTCATAGAACGACATTTGGTCTCGTAAACACAGTCGGTTTTGTCTAAGTGCATTTTTCCAATTCGTTGCTGGGTTGTTTCACAACTAAAGTACATAACCCTCACTCGTATTTTCAAACGTTTAGTGATTTATTAGGTATTTGCCTTGGTGATATAAAGTAATATAAGGTCATATCGTTTTTGTTTTTCTCACTCATTTCGATTGCACTAAGACAGATCTCTAGCAGTTTTCTCTTGTTATTTTACATTCATGAGTGAATGTAAAATACATATATAAATAAATAATATATAATAAATAAAATATAGTAAATTCCGATTTCCACTTCAATGTACATTAGAACAATCTGTATGACTTTTATTTCTAGTGGAATTCGAAAGTCCCCTATTACGGAAATTAGAATCCCAATTTCCACTAGTTGAAATTAGAATAGTCACTTTATTCTAATTTGCACTAGTGGAGATTGGAATTCCAATTTCCACTAGTGGAATTCCGAATTTCCCTGAATTCCAATTTCCACTGTCACATATACGTCAAAATACAATGTCGTAAACTGCCCCTAATCAACACTCCCCAAGAAAGTCCCCGGGGCCTTCCTGTAGGCATTGGTCGATCTTTTTTAGTTTCATATAACTAATTAGTAATTAAGTGCCAGGCGTAGCACATATCAGCCAACGAAGGTTGATACGTTAATGATGACTTTCTAGAAAAAAATTCGTAAAATTTTATTATAGAACTATATTATATTTATATATTGTCTATCTGCAAAAAAAACGGTGAATGGAGAGTTGGCAGGGACTCCTCGGGGATTGCACATGTTGGGGACTCCCCAGGGAGTCCCTAGGGATTACATATTTCGTATACATTTCGGGGACTCGCCAGGGAGTTTGAGGGTGACTCTCTGGGGAGTCCCCGGGAATTAGCTATTTTTCGGGGACTCTCCAGGGATTTTTTGGCGAGAGTCGACTAGGGTGTAGTATCCACCATTGTATACTGTAAGAAAACAAAAAAATAATGTAACACAGTTACTGCGTCTGCGTAAAAACTGAATCTCATTTAGTTGTCTGTGTCGATTAGGAGAGCTCATAATCCCCGTACACTGTTCTCTTTTTAAACCCAGAGGATATCTTGTGGACTTTTACTATACTGGAAAATAACGACAGGTATCGATAAACACGTCTGATTGTAAAAAATAAACCCACCTTAAATCGAACCGCTCGCCCTTCGTTCATAAAAACGAAACCATTGAATTAAATCGATTCATGTAGCATTACTGTGATTGAAGATGAACATTTTGATGGCCGAGAAGACCGCTCCAACTACAGAGTATAAGTTGTGAGCAGACGTTTGCTAGGTTTAGACAGTCCTATTCTCAATTTAGGTTTGCTTTCCTTTCTTTTACAGACACAAGTCAGCAAAAGAAATTATTGACAATGGAAAAATTGTTTTCCGATGAATTGTTTGTCGAATTCTTTCAATATCTTCCAGTTGTGGATCTCTTTCGTGGTTTTTACAACTTGAATGTACGTTTAAATTCAATTTTAATGGATCCAGATCTCTATCTTTGTGTTAACCTATTCCAAATGACACGTGTGGATTATCAATATCTAGACGAGAATAATCTGTTAGATTTACTACAGACAAAAATTGTCTATCTTAAGACAGACGATTGGTATTCTGTAATGCTTTGTAATCGACGAGGCGGTTCGGCAGAATCATCGTGTTCACATTGGAAACGTTCACAAATATTATCAAACAAAAATTTAAATTCCTACCCGAATCTACGATCACTTACTATTGTACGTCCTGATAATATGCATTTTCAACAGTTGATTGATTTGCCAACGAACTTACGTCAGAAATTAATCTGTTTAAAACTTTATCCGTCGAGATTTGGAATAATGAGAGTAAGAAGAAGATTTGTTTGTTCTCTGTGAATCTGAATCATTGTAATGTTTAAGAGAAAGTTTTTTCTTTCTTTTTTTTAAGGACAGTTTAACTTTAAATATGATACAAAGCAATCATTTTCCGAATTTAAAAATTTTACATCTACCATACAATTCTTTCGATCTTTCAAAATCATCGTCGACTATATCTGTTGGACTCAAAACAAACTTAAGTAAGTTGTGGAAAATCTCTTTTTATTCCAGTCTTTAGTGTCGGAGGACAAGATTGATATTTCCTTTTTTGTCTGTCTACCTATTTCTAGAATCATTAAAAGTGCACCGCTGCACTGCAACTCAATTCTATGGTATACTACAATATTTACCCTTACTAAAATCATTAACACTCGATGAATCTTCGCTAGAAGAGTATCAGTCGTCAACAATTCAACATTTAAATTTAATTGAGTTCAATCTCGAAATCTATTCGTCAACAATAACCTTTGAAACCCTTGTACAAATTTTACACTGCAACTTACCGAAATTAAAATATCTTAA